TTTTGCTTCCCCCCCCCCCCGACTTTCAGGAGTTGGTGACGTTTCAGTCAAGTTAGCTTGAGCAGTTGGTGTATGTTTGTGTCAGCCCTCAGCTCTGATAGTAGGTGAGAGAAGACTGGTAACATCTGATCTGGCATCGTACTTGTGGGGACAAAGTTACCTCTTCCAAAACGTAGGAATGTGTTTGAGTGCAGTGAATTTGTGCTAGTCGGCACTTTGTGGTATTGCGTTGTTGCTGTCATCCTGGGCCCTGTGTTTGTGCCCAGCTGTGGAGCTGGGAGGCTGCTGGACACCCTGCCCGGTAAGGCCCGAGAGGGGAACAACAGGGGGAAACAAGAAGGTGGTGGCTGAGAAGGTGAGATGTCCTCATGGTCTGGGCAGTCCGGAGCGGGCTGTTCCTGCCCGAGGGCCCTAGACAGGCATGAGAGAGGCCTGACAAGAAGCAGAGGATGTGGTCAGCTTTCACCACGTGTGTTAGTGCAGGAGTGCAGCCACCTCTGGGGAGGAGAGGAAGTGGCCAGCAGTGCTGAGGAAGAGAGTGAGGATTCAGGCCTCCCAAGCCTGCCGGTAAGGATGCCTGGACCTTTTTGACATCCTCTGAAGGCAGTTGGCGTCTGCAGCTGTTTGCAAGAGCTCTGTTCGTGTTAGAGGGAAGGAAAGGTGGGGTTGAAACCTCTCTCAGGTTTCTGGTTTTCTCCAGACTCCTGATCTGTGGCTTGGTGCTCTCAGCTACACCCTCCAGATTTTGTAAGAAGAGCATTAGGTAATCCCTCTTTCTTTCTCTGTGGTCTGAGTGGACACGCAAGGCAAGCTTGTCTCATCAAGAGCATGCCGAGGTGGGAAGCAGGTTGTCTCTCTCCACCTTGCTCTGATTTGAGGATGAAAAGTGCTACTCCAATTCTCTCCCTGGCAGGAGTGTTTTACTGGTGGCAGGTACATGGGCAAGGCAAGGATGGAGGGCAGAAGAGCAAGGGCCAAGGGCTGGTGAAAGTGAAACACTGGGGAACGAAGGGCTCGCTGACGCTCCCTGCCGTCCCGTGTTTCTGCCTGTGCATGCGCAGCTGATACAGGGCTCGGTGTTATGTCAGAGACCTTCCTCTCCGTGACTCGGCTCGGCGTGGGGCAGCAGCTTTGTGTGTGGGCTTAGGGCTAGAAATACAAACTCTGTCCCCGCCTCTGACTCACTGCGCCGGCTGCATGGGGCAGCAGCTTTGCGTGTGAGCTTAGGGCTAGAAATACAAACTCTGTCCCTGCCTCCGACTCACTGCGCAGGGAGCCAGGGAGCGTGTGTGCCTGTAGAGCAGGAACCCTGCAAATTCAGCCTGCCTGCCTGCTTGCATGGTTGGCCTCTGGCTGCTGCTTTCCCTGAGCTACTGGTCCCTCACCCGGTGGGAGGCACAGCTCCTGAGGAAAACACCAGTCCCGGGGAGAGCTGAGAGGCCACCTCGCCCAGAGCGCTACAGACATGGGAGGCCGAAGCCAGAAGTCCTGACTCCCAGCATGGTTCGTTCACTCTGAGCCCTGTGATAGCTGCGCATGGCAGGTGTTCTTCCTCTTTACTGGGTGACTGCCTTTAAGAGCTGTTCGTTCTTAGCCAAAATGTTTGCTTCTGGCAGTCTGGTTGATTATGGGCTGTGGGGATTGGTTGTGTGCTGCTTAATTTTTTTGTTTCATTTCTTTTAACCTGTATTTGCTCCAAAGGGAAATCCCAGGCAGAAATATAGGAGTGCTGTGATGGACCAGGAAACGTGCAAAGAATTGCGTGAATGTAAAGGTGGAAGTAGCTCGATTTCTTCTTTTACAGGAATGCTATTTATAGCTTGTGAGGGTGACACACCTGTCACATAGCAAGTGTTTTGGAGGGGTGAACTCCTGGCAGCAGTTTTTTCTGCCGGAAGGCAGAGATCTTGGAGGTTCTGGGTTTGTGACGTGCCGTGGTCATGGGGTGTGTGTGGACTTGCCCCAGAGGTTCCTTGAACTGATCTCCTTGGATTAGGCCCAAAAAGGAAGTAGGTGTGTGTGCGTGTGGAAAAGGCACCTACTGGTGCTGTGTGGCGCAAGCAGAATCCTTCGGGGATCATCCTGTTGTGGGGTGCCCACGCAGTTGCTGGCACCAAGAATCGCTTTGTGCTCTCTGTGATGCTCTGAGGCCGCAGGACGGGAGTTGCACTTGACAGATTGTTCTGCTCTATCCTTTGTGAGTGACTTGGGTGCTGATTTCTTTCACTGTTGGGCCTCTCTGAACCAAGCTTTAGGAATGGCCTTTTCATTGCTCTGCTGTCTCTCCCCTCCTAGGATATGAACAACCTGGACGAAGGGGTGGAGTTCCTCCCTGCCATGAACTCCAAGAGGATGGAGAAGCGTGGCCCAAAGCGATGGGTAGTCATCACCATCGTGCTTGTTGTTTTCTTACTCGTCTCTCTTGTCACTGGCCTCCTGGTTTGGCACTTCAAATGTGAGTGTGATGTTAAGCCATGACTAATTCTGAGAGGGTTGGGTAATGGCATGTTGGACAATGTGCTGAGGGCATGTCCCCACTGCCCTGGACTTAGAAGCGATTCACTTACCATGTGTTCCATGCATGTGCCCTTCCTAGCTACTGCAGTATTACCCAGAGGCCCCAGGCAGCTCCAGGAAGTGGGGGGATGCCGTTTCCCACCCGCTGCCTCGATCCCTGGCACTGGGGACTTGCTGTGCTGCAGTCCATGCCCTGACAGCCTTTCTGTCTGTGAAACATTGCCTTCCAGTCAGGAACGTGGCCGTTCGGAAGGTTTTCAATGGCCACTTGCGGGTTCTGAACTGGGACTTCCTCGACGCTTATGAGAACTCCAGCTCCCCCGAGTTTGCCATCCTCGCCAAGAAGGTGAAGAGCACGGTAAGAGGTTTCTTGGATCCCTCCCGCTATGAGCGGGCCTGACTGTTTCTCTTGCCCTGTGGCTGCTGGGATCCTGCATATAGGGTTGCTGGGAGCTTTCTCACACCTCTAAGTTTCCCCTGTCCTAATGAGTCGCATGATGCGCAGGGCTGCATGCAGGGAACATGCCTTCTAATTAGGTCTCGTTGTCAAGGCTCCAGCCCAGTGCCACGGTATCTGCCTGCCTCTGCGACCTAGCGTGCCGCATGAGCCTGGCTGGGTTAATCCCAGGATCGGCAGACCAGTCAGGTCTGGTATTTAGGATCAGAGCAGAAATGCAGCTCCACAGCTGAGCAGGAGGCAGGCCTTGGGGCTGGGGGCTGAAGCAAGAGCCAACTGCAGGGACGTCCACCCTCAGTGCTGAAGACTTGGCAGGTCTTGCCTTTCCCCTCAGATTTATTGTGCTTCCCCCGAAAAAGAGCAGGGTGAGCTGAGTCAGAGCGGGGCTGCAGCGTGCAAGAATCTGGGGGCTTCTGGAGCTTTCGACTTTCCCTCTACCATGCTTTGGCCCCTGCAGATTCCTGCACCCCAGGGATGCCTGGTACATGCCTTGACTTTCCGTGAGAGGCTTGAAGCTCTGTCTGTCTTTAGCCTTTCACCCCTCCCTGCTTCTAGACTTGCTGAACATCCTTCTTTTAAACTCCTTTCAGGTGGAGGAGATCTACAGGAGTCATGCAGATATTGGTCCTTACCACAAGGAGACAGTAATAACTGCATTCAGGTGAGCACTAGGAAGTGCTGTCTGAACCCAGGTTGGGAGTGGAGGAGGGTGATGCTGGGAGTCTCACACAGCTGTAAGACCCTCTTTCCTGAACTGCTGTGGATGGATGCACCTCAGTAGCCATCCTGAGTGGCCTGGTGAAGGGTGGGCAGGGAAAAGCAAACTGAAGAGCCTTGTGCTGAGCCAGAGTATTGTTTTCTGCCAGTCTGCCTCACTTTGTGCCAAGGGAGACATCTTGTGAAAATCAAGGTACGGTGCAGCAGAGCCTCATGAATCACAGTGGGTGGTGCCTGACAGCTTGGAGAGGGACTCCCCGGGCTGGCAGGGACGTTTGCTGGCCCGCAATTTGTTTAGCTTATTATTGACACTCTCCCTTCCCCATGGCCACTCTCCAAAAATGGCCTGTCAAGGAGCCTGGCCCCTTCCTGTGGTACTTGAGACCTCCCGTGTCTCTCCTTGCTCTCACCCCATAATCGCCCTTCCCTGCAGTGAAGGCAGTGTCATTGCCTACTACTGGTCAGAGTTCCTTGTCCCCAAGTACCGGGAGAAGGATCTCGACAAGGCTATGGCTGACAAGCAGAGCTTGATCCAGAGGCTGAACCCCCGGCTACGAAACCCCGTGTTGAAGGTGGAGTCGGTCATCGCTTTCCGTGAGTGCTGGCTCACTGGGCCTCGGTGTGAGACAGGGCAGGGGAAGGGGGAGGCGCTGAGCACAAGGTGCCTGGCGTTCCACTGGATGGATAAGCGGCTCATTGCACCCCTCCCTTGGGTGCCTTTGGCTGCAGGGTTTGACCTGCTGTACCAGCGCTGCCTTGATGGCCCGTGCAGATGGGGGATGCCTGTGTGGACCGCTCCCCTTCATTCAAATGCTATGCTCTCCTCTGCACCTGTCTGGAGAGGGCCAGGGATAAATCCTCCCTTCTGCAGAGGAAAAGCTTGATCACTCGGGTCCCCAGAGCCCACCGTGGAGCTCTCCTTGGGGAGTGCGGGAATGGAACAGCTTCCTCCTGGCCAGTTTGCAGATAGTCACCCTACAAGCAAGGCCAAATGGGTGCAGATCCCAGGGACCTCTGCAGCCTTGCACACAGGGACTAACCACAACCCAAAGAATGACAACACCTTTGTTTTCTCCTGCAGCTGTTGACCCCAACATAGCTCGTTCCTCACGGGACAGTAAGTACAGTTCTTCCATCTCACTGGTAATAGCCTCTCTGCATCCCCAGGCCTCACTGGGGCGGTTTCCTTTGTGAAGCGGGGGGAGGGGGGGGGAAGGGCCTGAAGAAAGGTGCACTGTGTATGAGGCCGACCTGGTGTGCTCAGAGCTGGTTTGGGGTTGGCCAGACTGTGGTACAGGCCCTAGTGTTCTCTAGCAGTAGTGGGTGGCACAGCGTACTCTTCCCAAATGTCTCACTGTGTAGATGGAGGGAGATGAGGAAAGGTGCTCCCTGGGAGAGAGCACAGTGCTGGCGTCTCACTAGGAACGGCCTACAGACAGGCGAGGGATAATGTGAGTTGTGCACTCTGTATCTCGGAGCAAGACAGGACAGAACGCCCATATCTGAGCTGTCCTCCACATCTTACCTTGCACCTAGAGGAAAGAGCTCTCTTACTCATTTTTTGCTATGTTAACTGTTTCCTGCTCTCCTGGGCAGATAGCTGCATTTTTGCCCTCCATGCCAAGGAAGGGGAGATCACCAGTTTCACCACACCGGGGTTCCCCGACAGCCCATATCCTAACAATGCTCTCTGCTATTGGACACTGAGAGCTGATGCCAACTTCATCATCAGCCTGACCTTCAAGACTCTGGAACTGGAGCAGTGCACAGATGGGAGTGACTACATCAAGGTGTACAACTCTCTGAGCCCTGTGGAGCACCATGCTGTAGTGAGGTGAATCCCCTGGGGTTGGCCCTCCTTCCCCCTTGGGTGGGGAGATAGTAGGGAGAGGAGTTTATGTTAGCTCCCAAGATGGGAGGAAAAGGGGTTCACGTTAGCTCTCCGTTAGATGGCTGTATGGCCCTAAGTCCTGGTGCGAGACAGCAGGGTGATGCTGATCTTCAGGAAACTCCTACTGGTAACTGAGCTCATGTCCCTGCTCAGGACTCATCTATGCTGCTCAGGGCTCTCTATGCAGATGTATCTAACGGATTTTGTCCATTCCTTTTTCTTTTTTCCTAGGCTCTGTGGGAATTACGCCCCTTCCTACAACCTGACCTTCCTGTCCTCCCAGAACGTCATGCTTGTCACATTGGTTACCAACAAGGAGGGGAGATTCCCTGGCTTTAAGGCTGAGTTCTTCCAGCTTCCAAAGATGAAAGGTGAGCGGAGGCCTTGACCCAGTCCCCCACCACCTCTCCCTGCCGTGGGCAGCTGAACAGGGACGCGCAGCTCTGGCTGCATTCAGGTTGCCAGGGATGTTTTCAAGCCTAGGAGACCTGGAAGCAGGTCACCTTCTGGCTCTTAGAGCTTGCCTTGCCCACAATGCTCTTGGCTGCTGTAATGATGTCCCCCGAGGAGGGCAAAATAAAAATTATGTTGAATTAGACACGCAGACTGCTGTGTGCAGGAAGCACCTAATTGGTCTCCTGGGTTTGCTCCAAGCCTTGGAGCAGAGCTGCTTTCTCCAGAGATCAACTTAACCTTGTTAGAGGCAGCTGCATGTGCCTCCCTTCCTGCCTCGGACAATAGCCATCTAAGACTTGGGAAAGCCACATCTCTTTGAATCTCTAACCTGTTTTCGTCTTCCTGCTCATCTTCTAGTCTGCGGTGGGACTCTGAAAGGAGAGAGTGGCACCTTCACCACTCCCTATTACCCGGCACACTACCCGCCTGCCATGGATTGTGTCTGGAACATAGAGGTGAGAGACAGGGCCCCCTCTTTGCCTTAATTACTCTGTCAAATGAACCTGCTTATATGCTACATAGGGCATGTGAGCTTGCAGCAGTGAACGTTACCTAGAGGCCAAAAGTCTGCCGTGACTGGAGGGAAGCTTTAGGACAGATTGTAGGCAGAGCAGCCCGAATCCGTAGCTTTACCCAAACCATGGAGCATTTGGGCCTTGGGACAGGCCAGTCACTTGGTGGCAAAGCTGGCAGTGGGAGAAACCTTCTGCCCTGGCAGAGCAGACGTGTCGGCAGAAGTCTGGCTTCGACCCCTGTCTGCATGCTTCTTGAATGTGGCATCCTGCGGTCAGCAAGGCGAGTGAACTGACTGAATGACAAAGTGGGGATTAGTGGCTTTTGGGGAAGCTGTTTTTTTGTCTGTTTCCCTTCTTTCCTTCTTCAGTTATCTTCCGTCCCTCCCTCCAAATAGGCTTCCCAGGAGGCCTGTTTGCATTTTCTGTGCTCCAGAAAACAGTATGCCCCTGACGCTGCTCCCTTTGCCCCGCTGTCTCCTTGCAGGTCCCCTCTAAAAGGAATGTGAAGGTGCGTTTCAACATGTTCTTTGTACTGGAGCCCGGGATCCCAGTCAGCTCCTGCACCAAGGACTACGTGGAGGTCAACAGCACGAGGTGGGTGTCAGGCAATCTAGCTCACGAACAAGGTTGGTAGTGGCTCGTTGGGGCCCTTTGAGGGGAGGGGTTGTTTAGTTGATTTAGTTGCATGGTACCTGTGGTTTCCTTGAACAAGAGTGCTCTTGCTCTTTGGGGTATGATCAGGCAGGAGGGTGCTTGGGTGTGACCTGCTCTCACAGTTCGGTGCCTGATGGAGAAGGGGGAGCCACACACATGGCTTTAGAGAATAGCCTGTGGGCTTGTTGTGTGCTGCAGCTGAAAAAAAAAGGTCCAAAATGCAGGCTTTGAAGCATCACGTCACATGCCTAGCGTGCAGAAAGGCAGATCTCTACAGAAACATCTGGCGTGATTTTGTTGGAACGAGCAAATCTCTATTGTTAGGGCAATCGCGTTGCGTTGTGTGATGCATTTACTATTACATTTGCTGTTTGCTATTGCACAACTTACTGTAATCTGGGCCAAAAATACCGCTTGGTGTTGCATAGAGGAAGTGAGCAGTGTTTTTTTCACAATGTTTTGGGCAAGAGAGCTGACCCTTCTGTGAAGAGATGGAGTTTCAGAGTTAGAACCTGGATCCGTAGCGCTGGCTGGTTCTTGCAGTGAGGCCTGTGTAACAGCGATTCCTACCAAGCCACCCGCTGCTGTGGCATTAGTCTGCCCGAATCCAGAGACACGACTGATCCAAGATCAGAGAGATGCAACGATCAGTGTGTCAGGCAGGGATCTTGATGAACTCGCCCCTAAATCGTTGTCAAGGTCACAGCTTGGTGGTATTTGCTACTGGCCCAAATCTAACGATGATGTGAGCAAAATTTGGCTCCTGTGTGCAGGCCTCAAGGTCCAGCGGTCTATGCTGGGATCAGACCTGCTCTTGTTTTCCTGCCTCCTTCCTTTTCAGGGTGTGTGAAGTGACCCCGTGTGGAGATGGAGGATTCAGGAATGGAAGAAAGGTCGCCCAATGCTGACTCTGTAGCATGAATCTTTGCTCAATTTCCCTCTAGGTACTGCGGGGAGCGTTCCCAGTTTGTAGTGGCCAGTACTACCAGTAAAATACAGGTCCGCTTCCACTCAGACCAGTCCTACACAGACACCGGCTTCTCTGCTGAGTACCTGTCCTACGACTCCAGCGATCGTGAGTTAAAATCTCAAGGCTGTGGGAGGAACTAATTTGCTTCAGTTCTGCTGCAGACTAAACAACTGGAGGGCGTCCTTCATCTCCGCTTACGTTGCCCTATAAATCGGGAAGCACGCTTTCCCAGGGCGTTAGGGGCATGTCTGTTTAACTGCAAACGTCCTGGTGTTCCTACTCTGTTCTGAAAAAAGGTGTTTTTCCTGTTGGATGCTATAGGCAGGCTACCCTGAACAATGGCCAAGTTGTGTGCTGTGCAGAAATGTGGGGGTGGGAGAGGTGAAGACTCGGTTCATTCTCTGACATTAGTCACAGCCGAGCTGGCTTCTCCCTGCCTTGAGTAGGAATGGATGTGACGAGATACAAAGGACTCGCTAGGTGGCCCCAAGGGCAATGCAAGAACTAAGGGCCGTGGTGTGAAGCTAGCAAGAACTAGGTTCAAAAGGAAGTCCTTGTTGAAGCAGGGAGCTGAGCTGCAAAACTTACCAAAGGATGCTAAAAATTGATATAGGTGACTGGACAAGCTAATGAAGGAGAAATCCACTGAGGGTTGTAAAATGCACAGAAACTATATGCGCTTTAGGAAATACTGGAGCTGAGAATGACTGGTAGCTGGGGAGAGTACAGAGGTGCTGCCCTGCCCAGGCTTTCCCCCAAGCACCTACTTAACAGCCACTGTCAAAAACAAGACCATAGGCTTAAATGGACTTTGGTCCGACCCTTGATGGGCTGTCTCAGTTGCACAGCTCAGGGAGCAGCGAGGCTGGGCAGCGGAAACCCACTCCACTTGGAAGTAGGGCAGGCTGCTAACAGCCGCGCTCCCACCAGCTCTCTGGGGTTGGTGACACTCGGCGCAGGAGAAGGGGCAGCGGGAAGGCTCACGTGTCATTTTATCCCTTTCCTCCCTCTCAGCCTGCCCTGGCAAGTTTGCCTGCAACACTGGCCGCTGCATTGACAGAACCATGCGCTGCGACGGGTGGCTGGACTGCATAGATGGCAGCGATGAGAGATCCTGCAGTAAGTCTGTCCTTTATTTCTTTGGCTTGTTACGGGAAGGGCTGTGCTGCTCCACGGTGACTGGGGGCTATGTGCTCTGGCCTTGTTCTGTTTAACTGCTGCTGATCTGGAGGATGTAGGAGGGAAAAATCAGGGCTGGATGTGGCCAGGCAGGGCGCTCTTGTAATCTGGGCATCACCAGAGGAACTGCAGAGACACAAACCCCTATGTGGGCTCTCTTTAGCAAGGGTTGTGCAATGCGTTCTGTGGCTTGCAAAACAGCAGCTCAGCTAGAGAGGAACTTGCGCGGAGGGGATGAGCCCAACACTTGACGGCAAAGCTCTGCTTTTGCCTCCTCTTCAGCGCCACTCCCAGTGCGCCTACCTGAGGAGCAGGTCAGCTCTCGAAAGATGCTCTTAAATTGTTGCACCAGGTATGCTCTGACTCTGCATGCTCATCAACACATGTGCTGCCGTCTGGAGGGCACGTGTAAAAACACACCTTAGTGCTGAGAGTTGCAGATGAGCTGCCGGCCCCCTTGCCTGCCTTGCTCGCTAGTGCAAGCGCTGCCTTACTCCTTCAGACTGGAGTGAGAAGCAATTGACGGGAGGATTAGTCTGAGATCCTTTCCTAGTGTGGGAGCTGTGGGTTCCTTCTAATCAAGTCCCCTCCTAGGGGAAATCTCCTTGCCTTTCCAGTCCCCCCCCCCCCCCCCCCCCACCCCCTCTCTTTCTTTAGCTCTTGTGGGTTTGGCTGCACCTGGCTGAGCTGGGTGTTTGGTGTAAAGATGTGTTTAGTTACTGAACAGAGGCAGGTATTGCAGAGCACACGTGGCACCTTATGGCTGGAAAACCTGTGTGATACATGGGTGTAGTTTCTTCATGCAATAATTTTTCCTCTTGGATTAACACAGAAGTCCCATAGATAATGGGACCGCAGAGCACGTTCCCCAGTGGCTGCTGGAGGTGCTGCCTCGGCTGTGTCTGAGGCTTCAACCCAGACAGACCCTCGACTAACTCTGGTTGTTAGGTCTCTTTTTTCTTGTTCTTTCTCCTGTATTTTTAAAACTGAAACCAATTTAGCAAAACAACATGGAAAATTCACAGTGGGGAACTAGGGATTAAATTGTCTGTCAGTCTTGTCAGAGAGAAAGGTCTTTTTTTTAATCATCTTATGCATTTTTACCTGTCAAGAACTTCAGAAACTGTTCAGTGATATTGTTCCTTGAGTTTGTCAGCAGTTGTGGTACATACCTAAAATGAAACATGCCTTCAGCTTAAAAGCACGTACAGCTATATATGATTTGTAAGATGCCTGCATGCCTTAACAAGTATGGTAGAGTAATTTTAGGTTTACCTGGCCAAATTAAAACCTGGCATAAAATGTTTGCAGTTGCACTGAACTCTGTGGTTTCCACCTGCTTCTACCATCTCGGAAATGGAAGTTTTAGCTCAACAGATGTTAAAACAATCTTAATGTTAGTGGCTGATGCTTTTTAAACTCCTCAACTCATGCTGTCAAATAAATACAAGACCATCTCATTTTTTATTTTAAAAAAGGTCATTTTTAATTCTTACTCTTTAAAGGAGAAGCTTGGATACAGGATTCAGATGCATTCCACAGGCCTCTAAGCAGGAGGAATATTTTTAATCTCTAATTATGATGAGGCTTTTTAGTCCTGTTATTTTTAGAGCAATTCTCATTTATCATGGAAACTTGTCAATGAACTTTGTTAAACATGAGATTGGAAGTGCTGAGGCTGAGCACGAGCTCTTCAGGTGAGACAAACTGGGACGCCAATGCTGAAGTCAGCAGAGCTGGCGTACAAAACAGGAACTGGTCCTGGAATGGAAGTTTTGTGGAAATGCAGGAAATGCAGTTGTGCTCACACAGCTGCGTCAGCACCGTTCCTTACACGGCTGCAACATGCTTCATGTGCAGGTTCTGCCTGCCAGCAGTCAGCTTCCCGCCGGCCGCTCCGCCCAGACACCAGCTCTGGCAAAGTGGTGTGAGACAGGATTTGTCTTGGGAGACTCTCATTTCTCCGGCGCTGGACTGGACCACGCTTTAGAAACGCTGTGGTACATTGAGGTGAACAAGCCCATGTGCAGCGAACTGAGAGCTTCTGCTTGCATACTGCCTTATTTTGGTGAGGCTTCTCCTTTTGATTCCCAGGAGCATCGTAGTGAAATAAGATTGCTTGTTTAGGTTTTTTTAATTCTCCTGAGAAGACTGATATGACATTTCCAATCCTGCCTTGTTACTGATCTCATTATAGTTGTTTTAATTATCCTAATTACACTGAGTGTGATGGAGTGCGATAGGGTGGTGGGATAAAGTCACCAAGCAAAGGACCAGCTATCCTGAATAAAAAACAGTGCAGAAGACCAGCTGAGATAAACCTAAGCATGTTTTTTGTCATGTCTTTGAGTTGCCTGTGGCAGACAACCAAAGTACCTTATTCATCAACGGATCCTGACTCTGTTAGCGTAACAGATTTGTTATACACTGTGTATTAGTAGTTCAAATTCTTTGGAAGGGCTTATCTTTCAGTGATCGTGCTAGCAGTAAGTTTGCAGACTGGAGGGAAGTAATGGAAAACGAAACTGTCAGCAGTCCATATGCCATGGGAGCAGCTGGGAAAATGATCTATCAGATGACTTAATCTGAAAAATACATACATCTTAATGGCATGGAGGGTGTAACCTTTGAAGAACGACCATATCATCCAGTTGTACAGCAGTCTGATTCAAATGATCTAATAAAAGCAGTGAGACATCCTGACCTGGCACAGTCACGTCCCCATCATGCCTTCACTAGCGGCAGCAGGATTTTACGATTTTGGTGCAGAAATCCAGGACCATGGCTGGGGTTCTGCGGTCAGAGATGTTGTAAACTGCTTCTGGGTGGCCTTGCCTGTGTTGTTCGATAGGTTAAATGATACCTTCTTGGAGCCTGTCTAAAACTTGGAAAAGCTGCCAATTCTGCAAGCAGGCATCCCCCAGAAAGAGCGGATGTCTTAAAATCTGGTTCATGGACTTATTTCATCTAACACCCCTGATGCAACTGGTATTGAATTAGTGTTCGCTCTTTGTTCTTCCCTGAAGTGCAGGTTAGTATTATATACCCAGTCAGGGCTGCTCAACACAGCATCGCTCATGGTCACCATCTTTGCATCTCTACAAAACGTTGTTTCCCCTGGGCTGTGATTTTGGGAGTCAGGACACCTTCCAGTCGTCAACTGACCTATAGCAGATGGATCAGAGTGGTTGTACTTTGCTAATGCTAATTACAGGTAATTAAAATGGTTTCCTGGGATAGCAAGACCCTGCCCTTGCAAGTAATCGTCTGCAGCCTTGATTTGAAACCTGCAGCAAGAGGGAGACTGCTGGGGCGTTAAGTCAAGCATGTGCAAGTGCAGTTGCGGAAACAGGGCCTAGGGCTGAAGGACAGGGGGACACCATTGACCACAACTCCTGTAGAAAGCTGATATTTAACCTCCGAATTTCACCATGGTAATGCTTTACATAGGAGAGACATTGACCTAAGATGTGTCAGTATTGTCAAATTTCATAATTTATCGTGAGTTGTGAAATATTTAATGTTTTTTCCCTAAACCTCTCACTCTGGGTGTGGAGGAAATAATGAGATGAAATGTCGGTTTACATTTTCTTTTAAGGAAGGAGTGTTTCTCTCATTTTGTTTGCATGGAATAATCTTAAAATAGCCCCACATTTACTCTGTCAGAGCAAATAACGGAAGAAAAATAAATTAGGTATGTAACTGTTGTTTAAAATGCAATTTTAAAAAATATTTTCATTATTTTTATGAGCTTATTCATGGTTTTGCGTATTTGGAGTTGGCCCTTGTTAAATACGCAGCTACCATGAATATTTCATAATATGGCTTTAGGATGGATTAAAAAAGATTATCAGCCAATTGCAATTTAGACTTGAAAGCCGACCAGGACAATCCCTCTTCCTGATTTTTCTGCTTAAACATTGTAGTAATAATTTTAATAATAGTAATAATAATAGTAATATATTTGATGATAATTATTTGATAATTTGTAGAAAGGAATTTATTTGAACAATTTAATCTCTCTGGTAGTTCATATATTGTTTATCGGCTACTTTCATTTTTGCAAGTGTTTCCTTTTTTAAAATCGTGGACTGAACAAAGGAGCAGGCACGAATGATGAGGAAGTTCATCACAAGCACTGGCTCTTCAAAGACTAAAGGAGACCTGTTTAATTTTGATTGAACACAAGCCCACATGATATTTTTTATATGCCTTAAAAATATTATCCCTCTTTGTGGCAGCATAATTTGCATTTCCAAAGAACGAGCAGCAAATATTTCCTGTTTCCGTAGAAAGTGCTATTATTGTAAACTCATTCCTCTAAGTAAACTCATTTTGTGCGGTTGCCCCTCAAGGCAGACCTGGCAAAAGCAATATTGCCTCTAAGCAAATATCAACATAATAGGTATTTTTTATATTTTAAGGTGGCTGGTGCAGAACTCTCTCTTTTATTGCATGCAACAAAAAGAAGACTGAGAGGCGAGCTCATCAACGTGTATAAGTATCTGAAGGGGGGGTGTCAAGAGGATGAGGCCAATCTCTTCTCCGTGGTGCCCAGCAACAGGACAAGAGGCAACGGGCAGAAACTGAACCACAGGAAGTTCCATCTGAACCTGAGAAAAAACTTCTTCCCTGTGAGGGTGACAGAGCACTGGCACAGGTTGCCCAGAGAGGTGGTGGAGTCTCCTTCGCTGGAGATATTCAAAAGCCGTCTGGATGTGATCCTGGGCAATATGCTCTAGGTGACCCTGCTTGAGCAGGGAGGTTGGACTAGATGATCTCCAGAGGTCCCTTCCAACCTAAACGATTCTGTGATTCTGTGATAATGCTGTTATCCCAGGCCTGAAGTTAATTAGCGGAGGTGGGATCCTCTGGTTTGGGGTCTCCTTCTAAGGGAAGGGACTGTACTTTGAGGAGCAGTGTACTGCTGGCCTGATTCGCCTCTCTTGCCGCCTTGGGCAGTGAGCGGCCACAGCCACCTGGGTATTCAGGTACTTTCCCGCTGGTTGTAGCAATTGCTTTTGTTGAGTAGTTGCCTCTGGCTCTCCTGCTGCTACTGGGCTTGCTTAAGGTTGGCTTCATCGTTACCTGGCTAAGACATTGAGACAGTCCAGATAGTTGCGTTCTCCCGAGCCGTGGAAATGCTGTGTTATAGCTTAGTGCGTGTGTACATATGTATGTATGCATGCATGGCCCCAAGCTTAGTGCATATATACATATGTGTGCACGTGTAGCCCCAGCTGTTGCGGTGTTTTCTGGCGCACTTGCTCCGGTGTGCTTGGATACCTGCTGGGAGAGCTGCCCAGATTTTCCTATGGTGCTGTTGTAGACGCAATGACAGATGTATAGTGGGTGACTCCATAGGTGCATTTGCAGGTCTGTCCCCTGATTTCTCATCCTGATTTCTCACTCTCCCTTTCCAGCCTGTACTGACCAGCAGTTCAGGTGCCAGAACGGCTGGTGCAAGCCGAAGTTCTGGGTCTGCGATAACGTGAATGACTGCGGCGACAACAGCGACGAGCTTCAGTGCAGTAAGTGACTTGTCCTGGGGGCAGAAAGGTCTGAGGGCATCAACAAGGTGAAGGGGGGTGGTAGAGGCACACCGAGCAGAGAAAGGCAAGTGCTGTGCTGGAGACGTGCACATGAGGAATCCAAAACGCCAGCCTGGTGCTGGGCAAGGCGAGGCCTTGCCTGGAGCGCTGCGTTTGCAGCTTTCCTCGAGTCCGCACAGCCGCCCTAAGCAAGAGCTCAGAGGAGAGAGATGAGGATGAGCAGAGATGCAGGTGACATAGGCTCTAGGGAAGGAAGGGATTGCATAAACCAGTGATATGCAGTTTAGAGAGTTAAAAACTGGAGACACAGAAAATAGATGTTTATGTGTGGTTGCTGCAAGAAGAAAGAGGACAAATGTGTCTTTAAGTCTGCTGTAAGACAAAGAAGCAAAGGCCTTATGGTTGTGGCAAGGGGGGCATGGGGGCAAGAACTCCTGAGAAGACCGTTCTGGGATGGGATCGTGTCATTGGAGGCCTTCAGGAACAGAGTAAGCAGAGGCTCTCCCTGCCTGGGGAGGAAGAGATACGGGCACAGCCATGTGCCAGAGGTACTAGAGGGTTTGTGCCAGTCCTTCTTTGGGAGAGTGTTTGTGCCCTGCGCTGCCATTTCGCACAAGCGGCCCCTTCCCTAGGTTGCACGGATGACAGCTTCAAGTGCGGCAACGGGAAATGCATCCCCAACACACAGAAGTGTGACGGCAAGGATGACTGCGGAGACGGGAGCGATGAGGACAGCTGTAGCAGGGGTGAGGATGGGCTGTGGAGGGGTCCTCCCTTGAACTGCAGCCTCTTACAGATTTGCTCATGGCTGGGCGTCTCGGCATGTGTTTTTGCACATGGTGGCAGCTTCCTGGGGACAGTGGAAGGGTAGCAGAGGTGAATGGTTCTTGAACAGTGCGACTTCCCCGGCTCTGGGACTAACCCTTCTCCCTTTGGCCTGCCTGCAACAGCCCCCGTGACAGTCTCCTGCAAGGAGTACACGTACAAGTGCCGCAACGGGCACTGCATCAGCAAGCAGAACCCAGAGTGTGACGGGGAGAAGGACTGCCAAGACAATTCTGATGAGGACAACTGCAGTGAGTGCTCCGGGGAAGGGAGGACAGGGCTTTCTGGGCTGGACCTCTTAGACGAGTGCTTAAGAGTGGTGGAGAGAGCTGCTGGGCGTTTCAGCCTGACAGTTTGTATTTGGAAATAGCCAAGCCTTGTTCTTTAGCAGCGTGCGGAGCGTCTGTGTTGTTCGAGATGTATAAGGAGGGCTTTTGCAGATAATACAGGGGTTTGTCTGCCCGTTGACTGAGGTGGTGAGTAAATCTTTTAGCAGATTTAGCAAACTGTTTGCGCTCCTGTGCTGATAGCATCAGCCATCCCTGGTGTAGGTAATATCCCCAGAGGAAGGAAGGGGAGGTGCTGAGTAGAAACAGGAGTAACTAAGTGCCTTTGCTGCTTCCCCCTCAGACTGCGGGATCCGCTCCTACACTAAGAAGTCACGGATCGTCGGTGGGCAGAACTCGGACGTGGGCGAATGGCCGTGGCAGGTCAGCCTCCACGTCAAGGGCCAGGGCCACATCTGCGGCGCCTCGCTGATCTCCGAGCGCTGGCTGGTGTCCGCAGCGCATTGCTTCGGGTACCTGCAAGGCATCAGGTAGGTGGGAGCTGACGCGCTGCTTCGGCCAGGCTCGCTGAATCGAGGGCCGCCCGCTAAAGAGCGAGGAGACACGACGCGGCTGTTTTGTAAGACAAACTTGAGGGTGCTGTGAAGGGCTAAGTCACTGCCCTCAGACAAGCTTGACTCGGGACAGTTTCTTGTCCTGAATTAGAAGCAGCCATTTGAAGTAGACGTATTTATTTGTTGAAACATCACCTCGATGCCCAGTGCTCTTGCAGGGACCTCTGCAGGCACTGCAGTGAGGCATGTATGGTGGGATTCAGGGTGACAGGACCAGGGCAGGATGCCCAGACCGTTGCACTTCCATTTTCAGGCATTTGCTTATCTGAAAAGGAAAAATCGGTTTCCACCAGGGCAGCTGCTTCTCAAGGAAACTTTTTAGGAAAGAGGGCACGTTTTGTGCATCTCAGTCGAGCTAGGACGTCTGCGCCAGCTCTGCGACTGGGCTTTCACGCTGCCCTGCGCGTTGTGCCTCTTGCAGTTACTCGAACTCCAAGCTGTGGACGGCCTACCTGGGACTGACCGACCAACGCAACCGCAACGATGCCAACGTGCAAGCACGAGCGATCAAGCGCATCATCTCCCACCCCAACTTCAATGACTACACCTTTGACTATGATATTGCTGTCATGGAGCTGCAAGAGCCTGTCACCTTCTCCTCCGTTGTCCAGCCCATCTGCCTGCCTGATTCCACCCACAACTTCCCTGCTGGCAAGGACCTGTGGGTGACTGGATGGGGAGCGACTGTGGAAGGAGGTGAGCACTGGGGGTGCCTGGTGAGGTTGTGGTGCCTGAGGTGGGGGTGGGGGGGTGGGAGGGGAAGTGCATTGACGTATTTTAGCATACGGCTTTAGGGAAAAGGGGAGCTGGCTGTTGCTTTGCCTCTTTGAGAAACTTGCAGCCTATATGTATTAGCTTGTCTCGAGACTGAAGGCAAACAAACAAGCTTCTCTAGGGATTGCACGAAGATAGCATCTCAGTCCTGCAGGGAAAATGGTTTTAGGAAGCAGCACAGGTTGTTGCGCTGGGGACTGACTTACCCAACAATTAGGCACTTGCTCAGCGCCTGGGGCCTGAATGCAGCACGTAGGTACAAATTGGTGCAGGGCGGCCTGGTTGCTTAAAAACGCCGTACGCTTTTAACCCGTGCTTGCTCTCACAGGCAGCGGTGCCACCACGTTGCAGAAAGCAGAAATCCGGTTGATCAACCAGACCGTGTGCAACGAGCTGCTGTCTGGCCAGCTGACGCCACGCATGATGTGTGTGGGGATCCTGACGGGTGGCGTGGACGCTTGCCAGGTAGGAGAGCAGTGCAAAAGCACTAGTTTATTGCGGTTGGTGGAGGGGGGGAGCCTCCATTAGACTAGGGGCCATTTGGTCAGCCCTTTTTATTCCCGTGCTTTCGCACATATTTCCACACTTAACTTAGTATAGTACAAATCTGGGTGGCGCCATCTTGGTTCAGACAACGGCCAAATTGGAACAAGCAGGAGCAGCAAATTCTATTGACGCATGACTTCTTTTAGTCTGAAAAAAACCTGCACATCGGGTAGGCCAGCAGAGCGACAGTACTCTACTTTACTTTAGCACTGTTTGTTACTGAGGGGGCTTAGCGTTTACAGGCCGTTTGTTCAGCCCCTTTTTATTCTGGCACTTTTCACTCCTGTTTCCCCACTTAACTACGTTTCAGATCTGTACAATTGCTTCTTAGCTGACACAACGGCCAAACTGGAACGGACGCAAACAGCAAATTGTACTGACGCCTGACTCAGTCTCAAAAAGTTAGCGCTGTGTTACAGTTCTTAGAGCTGCTGAAGGAAGCCCAGCTATCCCTGGAGTTAGTGATTATTTCTTACGCGTCGTCAGTTTTTTAGATTACGTTAGGTACTCAAAAAAAAATTTGATGCGCTTTTGTGATTACTTAAACGCTTTGCCAGCCTTTATAACGCGACACTGTGTGAGGTTGGTGCTTGTGTTAACATTTAGCATTTGTTTCTGTGCAGGGAGACTCTGGAGGGCCGCTGGTCAGCGTAGAAGCCAGTAATCGGATGTTCCTGGCTGGCGTCGTGAGCTGGGGCGACGGCTGCGCGCAGAGACAAAAGCCTGGCGTCTACACCCGGCTCACCAAGCTGCGCCCGTGGCTCAAAGAGCAGACAGGCCTCTAGGAGCACGCTCATCCTCACATGGACGCGTGAGTCTTGCACGCTGCGGGCTGAGGCTGCCCAGGCTGTGAAGAAGGGACACCTCGTGTGCAGCGAAGCACAGAGAGCTGCCTCCAATGTGAACTTCAACCCTCCCTCTACCTCGCCGCAAGCCCCGGGCTGCCCCTGCCGTGCTGGTCCGCGCAGCGGCCAGAGGCTGGAGACCAGCGCAAGAGGACCTGGGTGTCTGTATTTAACCTAGGTGCGTATACCAGCTAGCCAGAGTGAGCCAGATCTGGTGTTTCAGGTTAGCCTGAGTGATCCCGCCCTGAAACCAAACCTCAATTTAAAGCCTGGACATAAGAAGTTTCCCTCTGTGGACAAGCTAGCGCAGCTCCCAGGAGGAACTTGAATGAACAGCCGTTCATGATGCATAGAAATAGGAGGAAAAAAAAAAAATTAAAAAAAAAAAAGAAAAAACACTTTGTGTTTTTAGAAGCAAACTTTATTGGGACGGGTTCAAAAACAGCTTTTTTGTATATAGTCTATCTCCTGCGTTTGTTTTCAAACTGCCGTCCGCACCCCTTTTTCTGGTCATGAGTGATTGGGGGGGGAGGGGGGAAGAATTCTCACCATAGGGGCAGTGGTGGATCCCTCAGGATCCCTCCCTTGGCACGGTCCCAGGCAGCGCCGTCTCTTCCGTCCCTTGGCCGGCTTAGTTTCTGTCCTCTTCTGAGCGGGAGTCCTCGTAAGTCCAGGGCTACAGCACTGAGGGAGAGAGTTCTGGCTCAAACATGTTCACTCACCTCCAGGGACTAGTGCGCAAGTCTACTTGCGCTCGCAGGTATCTGTCTTCTGACTTGAGAGCCAGTCAGATTGGCATTACCACAACGTGCCTTAACACTACACTGTTATTTAGCTGCTACACCTTCTAGCTTTAGCTGCTTATTCACACCAGGCAGTGCCGTACCACCATGGTGCCTGAGTAGTTGTGATGCACAGGCCTGGACGTATGTTCTAGTAGAGCCCGTAGCACCAGAACACGCTTGATGACTCCCTCTTCCTGTGTGAAGCCAGGCGCTTTGCTGCTCACGTGGGGCAGAACTGATTGAATGAGTTCCTGCAACTTGTCCCCTGTACTGGTAATGTTGGATGGCTCTGCCTGCGCCAAGGCAGAGCCAGAGTCTTTTGGCCCTCCTTACTTTTGTAAGAGGAGGCAGCAGCGTGACTTCTGAATGTAGCCTGTTCCTTGCTGTAGAAGGGCACACTCCAGTTGACGTCAGGTAGCTGTTCCTCACCTGTAAATACATTGTTTTGTAAAACTCTATGAAAGGGAGATGCTCCAAGTCTATTAAACTGGGATATTTTCTAATACTCTGGCTGTGTGGTTCTTTGTGAGCTTCTCTGGAAGTGTTCGAGAGCTGGGGAAAGGTGCAGATCCCTGATGGCACCCAGGCCAACAGCTGTTCCCAGCAGGAGGCTGAGCTGCTGGAAGGAAGATACGTAAAGCCCGTAGCTTCCCCTTTACAGCCACCCTTGGTCTCAAGACAGCACACTAAACAACCAGAAGCAAGTGTTTTCCAAGTCAGGGGGCTGTAGAGAGCTCCTGAGGAGCCAGCAGGGCATTTTTCACACTGCTCCTTTGAGTAGGATGTGCAAGGAGATGTGCTGACCATCTCCAACACAGGGAAGGATCCTGAGGCAGCTTTCCAGCTGGAAATTTGTAGGAGGCACCCCCTCCCACAGCATGGCAGACTCACCTCCCACGTTTAGGTCAGATGCACAGGAGCTGGAGCAGGCCACCGCACTTAGTTCTGCTTTCCTCCATGGCTGGTGTCAGGTCCCATCTGCACACTTAAGCATGCTGCTTCCCTTCAAGTGTGGGCAAACAGACCCGGGGAGGGGGAGAAAAAAAAGGCAAAAAACAATTTAAAAAGACATCCACAAAAACCCCCAAATCCCCACAACACCAAGCAAACAAAAACAAAACAAAGAACACTCCCCCCTTCCCAAAAACCCAGACAGAGGAAAACCCCAGCCTGTTTCCAGCAGCCTAAAGTCCAGCCTAGGAACATCACATGATTCTGTGCAGCATCCCAGGGTCCTGCTCCAGGAGACAATATGGTTTGTTTGTTTGTTTTAAACTGCTTTGTTATCACTGAGCTTTAGAGGTAGCGATGACTATTCAGTTGGCTTATCACCTGCGGCGCGCCAGAGGCAGGGGCGTGACGCCTTCCAGTAGGCTACTGCAATAGCAGTAGGCTAGCGAGAGTAGGCTAGATTGGTGCTCACATGCTGTTGCAGCAACAGCAGTGACATGTTGCAGTCACTTCGCTGACCCTTGGTCCCTGGCAGGAAGCTAGCGCATGGGTAGCGCTAGAGCAGCACCCAGGGCTGGGCTGGGCTGGGCTGGGCTGGGCACCAGGGCGTCCCAGCAGCCACAGCCCTCTGTTCTGGCCAAGCTCTCACGAGCGTGGCTTCCCACTGCATTTGGGGAAAACAAGAAAAGCAAGCTAACACACTTAGTCTGGTACAGGTTCCCTGAAAGTATTTGCCAGACGATACGGTAAAGGGCTCCTCAGCCTCAAAGCACAAAATACTCTAGTGTTTTAAGCTGGTTACCTGCAGCGGAGGTGCATGGAAGCCGCTGTACAGCCCAAGGGTTGGACACACTTCCAGGATGCGAGAGCCAGGGCTCTGGCCTAAGTCACATGGTAGCTTTGCGCATGTGAAAGCAGTGAAGCGTTGGGCGGCTGATTGTAGGGCGACAGGCTCTGTGTCGCTGTGTTTCTCCCCGGCGTCAGCCAGACTCTGCACGCCCAGCAGAAAGGGGGAAAAAAAAAAAAACAATTGCCATCAGCACAACTTGCAGTTCTGCAGCCGGTCCCAGCTTTGGTGCCCAGAGCACGTTTCTGCTAGAGGCCAAGATTAACCCTGCCCTGCTGCTGGGGGTGGGGGGTGCTGCCTCTTTCCTCACCCACAATTTCCCATTACCTGCAGCTTTTCTTACCTCTGTCCAGCTTCAGTTCCTGTTTCACTGCGCAGGTGGGCTCCAGGGCACGGGCGCAAACAAGTCCCACGCTGGCTCTGCGCTGTGCACAGCGGAGTTGTCTGCTCTCTGCGGCCCAGCCAAGTCCAGCGGTATCACTAGACTAGAAAGGGGTGGGGGAGAGGAGGAAGTCAGCCAAACCCCAAAAATCACTGCACTCCCCCCCACTCCCCCCCCCCAGGAAACTCATGACTGGAGTCCTCAGCCCTTGTCGCAACAGGCTTTCTGCTGGGCAGGCAGAAAACACCTGTGGGGGGCAATCCCTTCCTCATTGCTCCTAACTATAACAACAAAAACCAGTCCTGGTGCTCGGGGGCTTCCTGCTGCACACGCTGCAGCGGGAGGACCCTTCCCAAACAGCGCTAGCTTAAACGATGGCACTGGGCTGCACAGACTGCTACAGTTTGCTGTAGGGGCCAAGCGTCCAGAAGGTGTCCAGCGTTAACTCTCTAACGCTAGCAGGCATTCAGGGATAGACAACAAGCAAGAACGTGGCCAAAACATTGAGCATTTCATGCTCTCTCCTACAGCTGGACCAGCCAAGCCAGAACCACTCTGCTCCTGCCACCCCCTGGGCCACAGCAGGGAGGCGGCACATAGTTTGGTGGGGAACCAACCCCGACGGCGCCGGGCCCTCCTTGCACTTTCCCGCGGCGGGCAGGAAGGGCGCAGACCTTTCCCCAGCACTTCCTACGCTTGTTTACAGCGTTAGCGATTCCAGCCTGCCCCTGCTTTCAGCTGGGACATGGAGACACCTTCTACTCACGCCACTGGACAAAGTAACCTAGCTTTAAAAGTCGGAGAGCGCAACACAAGTACCTGACAGTCTGTGCCTGGGTCAGGAACTGGGGCAGGAAATGCTTTCTCTTTCCTCCGAGTCTTCACTTCCCCTTTATCTTCACAAGGCATCAGATTTTCTAGATTTGTCTCTGTCACCAGCAACAAGCATGGTTTCGTCCCCTGAGACCGCTGCCACCTGGGGATATTAAAAAAAAAAAAAAAAAAAAAAAAAAACCAACAACCACCACCACCACCACTAAGAGCACATCTTAGGCTGTGCAAGCAGGCACAGACCCACAGTGACTTGTCGCTGCCCGCAGCGAGGTGGAACAGCCAACAGCTCCATTACACCTTACTTTCCCATCCTCAATTTGACTACCTCGCATGAGAACGGGGACAGGCTTCCCACATCCCCTGTCTGCCTTAACCGCTCTGAGTCAGAATGTCCAGGTTTGCTGCAGACCAGTTCCTGCAGGGGCCATGAAATAAGTCAGGTTTTCGCAGAAACCAGAATTTTCTGGGCTGGCCTTCGCTGGTAGCATTCATATCGCTGCCACAGGAAGGACAGAAGTTAAAAAGAGCACGTTTCCATTGTCAGAGGGATAGAAACTCCTACCTGCCCCCCCAGCCACACGCGGGGTCCAGAGCGAGCTCCCTCCGTGCTGCTGGCCAGGGCTGGAGCCAGGGTCTGGGCAGGGTCTCTCTGGTCAGGCAGTACCTGCTCTTTGCACAAGTCACTTATCCCCTGCTGCTCCCCAGCAGCCCCGGCCTGCGTCCTCAGGCAAGCCTGACCATAAAACCAGGAAGTTACACACCGAGAAGTCAAGGCAGGTTTTTACTAATAAGCCATTTATTTAGGACAACACAATAACCAGCAGGGAGAGCAACGTCTCAAGCAAACAACTGAAGTGCAATTTGTCCGGCCTTGCACTGAGCGTACACTGCTCTCACACAACGATAAGCAGCGGCTTGCAGCGTTGAGCTATCACAGAGGGGAGAAGGAAAAAGAAGAAAAAGAGGCAAGCACAAACTCCAGTTTGACAACCCATTGCCCCAGTCTGCAATTCCCCCACGTGCACGCACCCACCCCACAAAAGATCTCCCCAAACTTGAGGGCTTGTGAACGCGTCTTGTCCAGGCAAGGCAGCGTGCCTAGGGAAGAGGGGTGCTCACTGGGGACTCCACCCCAAGCACCTAAATCCATGGCCCTGCAACACTAGCGTGCGAGAGCCTAGGTCCTTCCTCCAGCAAAGCTCTTGCTAACTACCAATAAATTCAGGAAAGAGAAAGCAGCCAAACCAAGCAGCATTTCAACACAGACTTCACAGACGCAGAGTCCTACACCCCTGCCCCGCGTGCCTGGGTTCAGCTGAAGCTTTCAACGCAAGACTATCATGGTGGCCTGTGCTCATAGCCTGCTGAGCATCTGCTGGTATTTGACACAATAGAAGATGACCACGCTGATGACCACGAGCCCCAGCAGCAGCGCTACGCAGTTGATGATTTTTGCAGTGTTAGAGGCGGCACGTGCTCCGTCAACATCACGGCGGCTCAGGCGTTCCTCCACCTACGGACAGAAGGACAGGCCTGAGAGCTGCAAGAAGCGCGACTGTCCGAAACGCAGGAGACCGAAGCTAGCGCTAAGACCGAGGGCAGTCCCGTAGAAGATGAGCCATGCAAAGGAAGCAGTAGAGGAAAGAAAAATCTGGAGTCTGGTTTCCAAACCGTGGGACTCCGCCATCAGCATGCTCCTCAGAGCTCAAATAATAGGAAACAAGTTCCAGGCTTGGAAAACAGTATTGGAAGCACCTTGAAAAGTGAGCAAGACAGCAGACACTGCTATGACAAATAGGTTCTTCCTGAAACAGCCGAAATTGCCAGTTGCTCTAAATCCTCAAACAAAAAAAAAGCCTCCCCCACTTCCACAGGGGGTCTCACAGCCACCTCAGAGTTGAGCGTTCACTTTGGCTTGACCCTAAAAATCCCCTTTCAAGCTGTACGTTTCACAACCAGACTCCGAGCTGAACCCACGTGCACTGCAATTGCACACTACACACCAGGGCATCCCCAGTAAACAGCTGTTGCCCAACTACTGCCACAGCAGCATGAGGGTGGCTGGCAGAAGAGGTGGCGCAAGCAGAAGTCCCTTCCTCAGATGTGCAACCCCTGTCGCTCAAGGCAAAGGCATTAGGCTCCCAGGAGAGGTAAGGAACACGTCAGCCTCTAGCCCAGGCCCGGGATCACTAGGGAGGCAGCAGACGTTTTCGGCAGCAAAAATAGGCTCCAGTAGCCCTAGAGAGAAGCAGCGGCCCACCTCTCTTCCCCCAGGTGGCAATGGCATCTTCTTACCTGTCCCGAGTAGTAGAGAGCAACCAGCCCCAGGGGCAGACAGCAGCACAGGATGTTAAAGATGGACCACCACTTGTAGGAGGGCACAGACTCAACCCCGAGGGCTTCCATGGATGCTGGGGCTGACCAGAGAGACGGGGCGCTGCAAGGTGCCTCTCCTGGCGCGCAGCAGGATGAGAGCAGAGAGGGGAAGGGGCTGTGGCCAGGGCAGGAGGGAGGGGCCTAGGCCAACTTCCTCAGGGCAAGAACTTGCAGAGGAGGCTGAGGGCGATGCTGCAAGGGCAGAGAGGCCAAGAGCAAGGCAGGGGAACGGGATGCGGGAGGTGATGTAAGGGAGACTTGTGGTGTTTGCTCCTACCGCTGCAGTGGTCGGAACAGCAGCAGTGCTTTAAAGCCCTGCAAGAAACGTTGGCTTGCTTCCTTGGCTCCTGCGCTTTTCCCATTAACACCAAACGGGTTTGTGCGGCACCTCACCACCTGCTCCAGCCACTACCTCTCACCAAGACACCAAGCACTGCTGAGACCAAAGACCTCAAAATAATCATCTTGGAACTGCTCAAACATGCATGAGGTGGGAGATGCTGATCCAAGTTTCACATGAGCTTGGCAAGCCTTTCCCTCCCCAGGCCAACACTCACCAGCACAAAGTAGAGTTAGTTCCTTTTCGACTAAACTCTCTACTTTCACTTAAGAGCCTCAGCTGTTTGGAAAGTCTCCAGCAACAGTTGCTGCTTTGCTGTACACCACGCACGCCCCCACCGGTCCACACACCTTCTGTGGCATTTAGAAGGCAATAAGTTCAGGGAGAGCTGCACAAAACCAGTGCACAGTTGGAGTAGACACGTTGCCTGCATTTACCCCGGACTGCCCTCGTGCTGGTACTGGTTACAAGAACTTCCTCAGCACGCCACACCACTGGCAATGCCCCATCATTAATGTTGCTAGCCGTAGCATTTCTGTCGAGTTTTAACAGCAATTTGTTGGAAGATATTTTACAGACTTCCCTCTCTCACTTCTCTTGACCTACACAAGAGAGTTTTATTGGGTTGTGGAAAAACCTTGGCCCAGCACTGCAACACAGGAAACAGTTAATAAAACTCTCAACATCTGAAGACGGAAAATGCACTCGCTATTTTAAAGATGTCCCTTCGGCAGAGTATCAGTTTGTAAACGAACTCAGTCCTACTTCTGTAACTGCTTCTGAAAATGCTTTACAACGCAGCTACAAGCAAAACACGAGACTCGAAGACTCTGCAGCCATTCTCAAGAGGGGTTCAGTGTGAGGTTGGTTCGGTTTAGGCCAGTCTATTTTCCTGAAAAACACCAGAGAAAGCCACGTTAACAGACAAGCCGGGCTCAGACCACTGCTTTCCGGGTTCTGGCCACACCAGTTCTGGGACACCAGGATGTCAGGGTTACTGCTCCCTGCTAGCTGTGATCACCCCCTACTCCAACATGGCACGACAGGTCCATGGGGGCACCCCAGGTACAAGCAGAGAGCAACCCAAAGCTGGTGGCAGGGCTGGGGCGGCCAGCGGCTGTGGAGGAAGAGCAGCAGCCAGCAGCACTCCTGCTCAGGTGGGACAAGGCTTCTCAGCTTCACCGTGCCCTGGAAAAGGGGTCTGCTAGCTGTGGTGGGCTTCAACCTACCCCCCAGGTTCACAGTGATGCAGGAGCCCCGGCTTCTCCTCCCGAGCTGTGAGCAACACTGGCAGAGACACATCCCTGCTCTCTGCCTCAGTTTCCCCGCATGGAGACGTGGCTAACAGTGCTGACACCATTTACTTGGCAGGCAAGTGACCTGTGCCCAGGTGCTCCTGGCATGTCTCCCCCCGCAGAGGGAACCGCAGGAAGAGCTGTGCCGGCCGCCCCATCTCGTGGCGGACTCGGGAACACCAATTCCTCCCTTGCTGCGCAGCGCCAGCACTGCTCCGCCAGGACCCCGCGCCCCGCTGGCCTCAAGAGGGTGGCCAGAGACATCGGCGCGGTTTTGCTAGCAAAGCATCACAGCCAGCCAGGTCCAACCCACCTCCTGGAGATGGGCCACCCTCCCCACACTTACCATGTGGCTGAGCTGTCCTGTTCTCCCCTTGCGCTGTCTCACCTGCAAAGGTCCTCGTGGACCTACAAGGGGGGACCTCCATTCACGAGCTATAGTTTTGGCTGCCCTAGCACTGTTGCTACAAAAGCTAAACATCTTTGAAGACAGCCTCTAGGACGGTGCGACTGGGCCAGCCAGAAACCAGGGTAGCTCCTGCCCCTCCAGGGCCTCTTCCTGGGGACAGCAAGGCACAGGGTGTGGGAGAGGCACAAGCGAGGGGCAACTTGCGTCCTCCCCTCGCTGCCGGCACGCTCAGCCCCACCGCCGAGACCCGGCGCAGGCTTGCGGCGCTCTAACACCACGCTCACAGCTCAGTTTTCCCCATCTCCAGTACATTCAGCCATGCCTGCATAACGCTCGTGCTGCGCTGCTCGTTGGGAACGGCAAGAGCGTTCCAGTCATGTTTTCCACTCCTAAATTACTGATTATATCCTCTCAACCTTAATGCCAGGGGAACATATCTCTGTCTGAGCGTACATGTCCCGGGTAAGATAATCTCTCTGCAGCTTTGTTGACACGTTCTCCATTGAGGCTCAGAGCTCTTCCAGCAGGCAGAAGCGTACACAAAGCGTAGCTGGCACTTCCCTACTGTACTCATATTTGCGTCTGTTCCTTAGTACCTTAGTGTCTTGCCCCCTTCGCGAGTGTCGCCCCTGCTCCCCGCCGTGCCCCCCGGCATTTCGTCACATCAGTTACACAACAGTCCTGCCTGGACACGAGGCAGGAGGAGAGGAGGGGGAGGAAACCAGCTCGCTCGAAGGCGTCGAAGCCTGGTGGTTGGCCCCAGCACACCTGCACACAGAGGAATCGCAGTTTCATCACTTGCTGAAGCGCACAATGCAATGGTTACTAGCTCTCAGTTGCACTTCGCCTCCGCTCCAAACTCCTTTAGGGTCCTCTCAAAAGAAATGTCCCCCTCCCCAATCCCACCTTTCAGACAGTTGTTTGCTCCTCCCCAGCAGCTTGATCCTGCTTGTATCTGACAGAGCAAGCGATGCCTCAAGAGAGGAAGACGGGCAGCGCAGCTATGCCTTTGCATGCAAAAAGGGCCCTGGAAGCCCTCACAATAGGCCTTTGGTGGAACAGAAGCTTGTACTCTTCCTTCTTAAAAACCACCAAGTCAAAAGTCTCCCACCGCTGTTTTTGCATAGGTAAAACAGTGCAGTGAGATCAGCCAACGGGACCTTGCGGGAGCTTTCCCAAGAGGGGCACTGGGCAGCGCCAACCGTTTGTGCTGCAGGCATGAAGAGGGATGCCAGGGGCTTGCCAGGCGCTAGCCAGCACCCACATATGCCGCGGTGGGACCCTGCCTGAGCTAGGAGGATTTGTGGGTCAAGCAGGGGTAAGGGAGGGGGGGCAGGAACAAAAGAGATCCACTGCAAATGAAACCGAGGGAGAAGCGTGCTTACACAGGTTGCAGTTTGCAAAGTGCAGCATCACCCACCAAGAGGCCAGCCTAAACCTTAACCCAAAGCCGTTGGCTCCCTCTCAAGGGTTCCTCCGTCCTTCGACGGTGCCACAGACGAGGAGGGGAGCCAAGTCCCCCGTCGGCAGAGAGCAGGAGCCAGCAGCAGCCCCAGCCTCCCCCCAGGCAGGCCACCAGCCAGCTACGCTGCGCTTTGGCTACCAAACTGCACGCGAGCCCTTCCAAGCGTTCCCAAGTAACGCCGACTCCTTCGGTGCTGTTCAAACCGCTCCTGCCCTTCTCGGCCAGGCGACTAGGCCACGCAGCACTTCTTTCCCTCCTTAAAGGCTCTGATGACAGGCTCGCGCTAAGCACGCGAGGGGCTTCGACAAAAAACCAGCTCAGTGCCAGGCCACGCCGATGCCCAGCCGCGGGGTGGTCTCCAAGCGGCCGCCTCGGCCTTGGGGTTTTTGCCTCGAGCAGCACGTGCTGGAGAGCACAGATCAACAGTCATTCGCAGCTATCACTTGAGATGGGCTCCAAACTAACTAACTATCATCTGCCCTGAACTATCTGGGGGGAGGGAGCGGGGATTTCTTAAAAGCCTTTTTGGCTCGGGCGACAAGTTCATTCTTGCTTTCGCCGGCACGTTTCCTTTCTGCCCCGAACACGCACGTGATGGGGAGCCGATTGCTGGCGAGGGGCAGGGAGGGAGGCTGCGTTCGTTTGCACGCTCAAGAGCCCCGCAATGAAAAAGCCTCCTTCCTCCCACCACCGCGGGCACGCGGTGTCACCCGGACTAGAAAGGGGCTATTGTGAGCCTTGTGTAACATCATCCGATATACAAGGGAGGCGAGCGGAGAGGAAAATATTTTGTTCGCTCTTGGCGTCGTTTGGGATGTGTGTTTACTGTGCCTGTAACTTAAGACGAGTCTAGTTTGGATCGTGGTCTTGAGGGTTAGGGTTTGGCAAAGCAGAGCTTGAAGAAGTGGCTGGGAGAAGAGCCGAGAACATTAACGGATGGCTGCATGGACCAGCTCCTGACCCCAGCATCACCTTTGCCCCTTCAGAGAAGGGCCTGTGTCCTTAAATCTGCCTCCGGGGGTTGATAACTAGGTCTGCAGTATTTCTACTGTGCAGATAAAGGGATCAGTGCGATTCCTTAACCACCCCCCCGCAAGCTTTGCAAGGACTCACCGCTTTAAATCAGTGCGATTACTCCTGGTTCCCTCCTTGCCCAGCTTTCGTGCTCACCATCTTCTGAGGACTGGTAGGTACCAGAAGAGCTGCGACTCCCTTCCAGCTGAAGGGTGCTAATGAGATACCAGTAGGGGCTACTAAACCCTGGCTTGAACAGGAACAAGAGAGAGAAGCAACCAAGCGGCAGAGCTCTGGTTTGCCAGCACCACCCAGGCCAGTTCTGATCTTGGGTGTCAACTTCACAGTGCTGGCAGCTGATGTGCCATCGCCCTGGCTCTAGGAAAAGGGAAGAGAGACTTTCCTAGGAGGGTCCCATCTCCTCCTTCCCTTCTCAAGTTCCTGTTGCCTCACACAAGGCCTTTGCCAGCATCTCCGCTCTGCAGGCCCATAACTTGGAGGCACCTTTATGGCAAGGACTGTAGAGCGGTAGACAAGGAAAAGGCTTGCTAAGCCCAACCCAG